AGAGAATCAACTATTCAATGGCATAGGGGCCTTATATAGGGTTGCTCTGTATGTCTGTCTACTCTAGTAGTCTGACCTCATTACTGTCTACATTTCTCTTATTCCGAACGGAATGCTGGTCATGCCCAGCAATTATGTCTTGAATTCCTAAAAAAATAATAATAAGATGGAATTATTGAGTTACCTCTTCTCCTTACGTACGAAGAAAGACCATCCTTACCTGAAAGAGCTGAACAACTTGAGAGCGGTTCTCCAGCGAGCCGCCTACCCCACATGTAAATAAATAGCTGAAGATTTATACTCTATAATCTAGATGTCAATTAGCGAAGGCTTCAACGACGACTGAAAACACACAAACCGTGCTGCTGATCATTATAATCATGAAGAACTGTGTCTTACATAAAGATGTGAGTCTGGAAAGAACGACTCTTCTTCCTTGGCTTTCAAGAACTTAAGGGAACCAATGAGTCTCAAGACAACAGGATGCAACTATCATGAACTAAGTACATACCAATGATCTGAGAGAAGATGAAACGAGACAGAGAACGAGATAAATCACAAACGTCATGCTGGAGATGCCAATAGGGAAACTGAACTCTTCTCTCTTTTGATTATGAGACGAGATATTCCACCTGAAGTAGTCAGAAAGAGCCAAACCACATCGAGGAAGAACTTCTTGAGACAGCATACTTGGCACTGATTTCTATGCGCTTTGTCGACTACACAAGAGCCAGTACCAGCTTGACACCTGAAAGATCAACATTTCTTTTGAATTTCAGAAGTACCGACCTGTATATTAACCGTCGTCGAACTGAACGTTTGAAGAACCCTGAACAACCATTGCAAGCGAGGATGCCTGTAATTCATAAAATTATTATTCTTCGCTTACGATTTAGAATGCATCATAGAAATATGTGTTTATGCTTGAAATCTTCAATAAAGGATAACTGTTAATCGAATTACCATAGTGCTTGCCGCTGCTTACATCGCCACAAACAGCACAGCTGAGTGTCGGGGATGATGCCATTGGAGGAGATTCAGAAGAGGTTTGGCTGTTTGCTGATCGCGCCGGAAACGAATTCACAGAAATAGTGGTTGGATCGAAAGGTGGTGATCTAGAAAGGGGGTTCCTTATAGCTTCGGATATAATCATCTTACGAGCTCTGATTCATTCGTTGCTGATTCATGGAAAAAGCAAGAGCTGCAGCCAAGTGAGGCGTCATCATTCCTAAAAAAATAATACTCTTCGTAGGATCCCTGCTAAGGTATTAAAGGTAAGAGAGATAGAAGAAGCTCTTCAGCTTCAGATTACTTTCAATGTTTGGTTTTGACAAAGATGAGCAGATGGAATACCTGATGCTAGTAAAGGTGAAGGGAAGAGCATCTGGTTGTGGAAGATAGACCGTAGACTGGCCATCCGATCCTCACCTATCGACGAAGGTTTGATGTCATCTGCAATAGAATCTGTTGTACTCGATGAACAGGAATTATGTTTTCCGTTTAGTGTTTGAAATGAAATCCACAAATGAAATCACAATTCCACTCAGAAAAAATGAAAAACTCTTGATGTTTCCTGAGCGGAAATGATAAAGTCCGACCTTTTTGAACAAACTGGGTAGATTAACCAAAAATTTTATTTCCTTTACGCTTTTCCTACCAACATACACTACGTGATGTTTCTGGATCTCTCACGCACAATCATTTGCAGGATAGACTAATCGTTTCTACGTCAAAGGCTTCAAAAATTATATGATTGCCAGGATAGGAAGTGAAGCAGCATTACTTCCAGCTTGGCCTGACAAAATTCTTTGACCAATTCAAGCAAATTATTCATTTTCATTGCTCATAGAATCTTTTGACATGAACGAATCGTTCCTCTCATCACATCTAATCACAACAAAATCAACTGAAATCACAATAACAGGAAGAATATGAGCACAAACACAGATTCCGTTTCGAGCAAATTAAGCTTTAAGTAATGAAAATGAAACTGTGAGCTTAGCAGAGAATATCATCGGAAAACATGGCTCTGACACAACAAATCAAAAGCGCTTCCGTTGCGGATATTCAAACGACTTAATAAGGAAATTGTAGTATGACACATCATCGTCTAAAAGTGATTGCTTACTTATGCGCAATGTGTGAATATGACACTTGGTCATAGTCAGTTTTGACAATTAGTTTAGTCAGTTGAAAAACTACATCAGAACCAAACAGCATCCATTCTGCTTTCCTACTCGACTCATCAAAAACTGACATAAAGCTGAGATTTGAGGCAATTTTGGATGTGTATGTGTGTATGTGTATATGCATGTAAGGATATGAGGGAATGACTGACTGAGTGAGTGATTATGTGTGTGTGTGTGTGTGTGTGTGTGTTTGCCTCCAATCATTCGAAAGTTATAGTAAGTACAATAAAATGCTTAGTGAGAGGACAGACTGAACACTAAACTAACCATTTTGAGCCAATCTAGCAGCAGAAAAATTTAAAGTTTCGTCCTCGTCGCTCATCTGAAATCATTTGATTCTGAGCTACAAAGATTGAGAAGATTCTGAACAATTTGAGAACGATTTAGCAGGAAATTTTGCCTTTGACGGAGAGCATGGGAAAGGATAAAGCAAATTACGTCAGCTATTCCGCTTATAGCAATGAAACTGCAATGAAATGATATGCAGAAACTGAAAAATCTGAGTAAAAGTTAGCAAAATGTTCGAGTGTGTTGTCCAATCTTCCATTTCTATAAATAGGGATAACCGGGAAATATAAATAGCTAAATGGATGCATGTCCTTTACAAATGACCAATGCTGATGGTGAATGAGGAAGAAGCGATTGAAACTCAACAATGGACACTATGAACAGATTATAAGCTTTTTGTTTCTATTTCCTTACAACGCATGGCGTATTTGTAAGCGACTGCATGAGTTGTGGTTCATCAATGCCTCCCACATATCTCAATTCAGCCACGAAACATGATATCAACGAGCTACACTAAGCCACAGTAGGAGAATGAAAAGTTAAGAAAGCTTTAGATTACGGTAGTTGAAAGCACCAAGAAGCTTGGCGGATGATGGATGGCTCTGGATGGCTGATGCATCCGTCGAGGCGATGGCAAGCTCCGCCTCCTGATTCCAATTGAACCAATCAGCGAGCAGACGGGACAGCCTTTCTAAGGAAAGAAAAGCAGGAAAACATCGGGAAGGGTATATGAACAAAGCAGGATTCGTATGATAAAAATACTAATTAATATTCCACAAATCTGGTAACATCCAGTAGCTACATGAGGACCCAAAAAACAGGAAAACTAGTGGACACATGAAGTTGCTTAATCAAAACTCATTGACCTGACTGACAAACACAGTTTGCGCATAGGGAGGGAATGAGATTCATGAAATGCTTTCTATAGACTAATCAACTAAAAATAATAAACTGCCATATTAGTTATATGAGGTCAAGATGACAGTTATATTCCAATGGAGTCACTTGACTTGATACTCTAATGTTTCAGGTTCAGCTCACCCATAAGTAGAGATATCGACAGATTCACTGAAAATGCCGCAAATCAAAGTGGCCTCACATTTAATTAGTTAACATTTACATTTCGGCAAGTTATAGTGTCAACCTAATGACATCGTCGTATAACTTTTCTTTTCTAGTACCAGCTGTTAACCAGCCATATTAGGGGCCATACTACCGGCACCATTTGGTCAGTTGTAAACTTGTGATTGTTTCGGTATGGGAGGAAAGATGACCGAAGACTCAAACAGAAGGCCTCAGATCTTCAGACTTCGTAGGGATAAATGTAACCGTTCTGAGCGCATGCAGTGTTCCTGGTTCGCGAAGCCTCCCCATTCACATTCGACAGTGTGGAGAAGAATAAGTCACAGGTCAACCATTGACTCCAAGAACTTCATTATCATGTTCCATACGAGTATGTTACAGTGATTTTTTAAAAGCTCTCAGAGTAGTATATTCGTGAGACTACTTTACTTAGTGTATCGCTGTATACATGCCAGCCAATTCTTATCTCACCGCTTGCATTGACTAGTTGGTAATGCTGACGTCGTCATCGTCGTGAAAGTCGTCGTTGCCGTACCCCACATCAGCAGCCGATTGTTTGTTACTTGGTTTTAGAATGGAAAGTTGGATGATAGATAAAGAGAGAAGTGAAAATAAGAGGATCAGACTCTAAAACGAGAAAGGAATGTAATGACAAGCATTCGTCTCACTGGCAGCGCCAGCAGCAGGGCTGAAGGTTGGAATTGAATTGGCGATAGCACTTCTGCCAGCCTAATCTCTTTTCGTGGTCGTGTAATGACACGTCCTGATCGGATAACTTCACCAGAGCCCAAGATCCCGTTGTCTGAAACCACTCTCTTATCCTACTCTCTTCCTGTCTATTTTTGCCTCTCTAACTCTTTTGCATCAGAAGCTGTTCAACGACGACAGCTGAGACAGAGGCAACAGAGCATACGGTAGTTAGCTCGGATCCCTTGGGATAAGGTAAGCGGGATTTTGCCAACAGGCAGAGGGTGAGTAGACGGCTTGTCAGCTATCAAACTAAAGTTTACTTAGAGAGAAACCAGGGACTATGGAATTGAAAGCAAGCTACACAAGATGATCATCACTCAATATATAAAAAGATGAAAATGATGAGAAACAAATTGCTGCGTGAAGCGAGTAGAAGAGTGAAGGCCAGCAGCACTCGGCTTCAAGTCAGACGCAAGCGTAAAGATGAGCTAATATGAAATAAAAGAATGAACGTACTCTTCACATTTCCAATATCCACATAATTATATATCTGAAGCTAATACCAATTACAGTAATCCTTCATCCACTCCATGTATATCGTGCGGCAAACATCGGGTCACATCTGTGCAGTATTCCTATTAGATTATACGTGTTATTGGAGCGGGGCTTTGTGATGCTCTAAGTAATGTCATTATATCAATCATTTACACACAAACTGGCAAATGACATGAAATAGGATATATATTAGTTTTGAAAAGGGAAGAAGTACCCTTCAGTGAACTGATCAGCTTAGAAGTCTTCATTTTAATACGCTCTATGAAATTACCTAACATTCTTCAATATTACGTGTTAGATCACTTTAAAACAAAAGATGAGAGATCCAAATAATACATATACACAAGTTCTATAAGATCATAATAAAGAATCACATTAAGCTTCGCTTGTTTTCAACTTCTTCGACATTAGCACTGAAGCAATATCATTTATCCTTCTTTTGTTCTGCAAGTATATACACACTGTGATACGAAGGTTCAATTGCCTCTTACCGTTTTCTTCCCATCATATTCACTCTTTGGTGTTGGGCTCACTGCTGTAACTACATCGTTCTTAGAAGAAGAAAAGCTTTCAGCATTTAGTTGAGGAGATAAAGATTTGCTTTTTGAGTTCTGATCATTTTCCATCGAGCTCTAGAACAACGAAACGAGTATATCATTTATATGGTTAAGACTTACCGATCCGGTTTGTACCGGCGATTCTTCACGACTCGATTGACCTTCTGCTGTTTCTGCAATGATATGATTAAGAGAGATAATCAATTGAATAGCTTACTGCTTTCATTGTTATTAACTTCCGGACAGAATAACGCTACGAAAGAAGAGAAATCATTAAGCTCTAAAATGAACCAATTTGAAAAGCGATGTTCACTAGTACCAACCTTTGAGACTTTCTGCTTCAGAACTCTTACTCTTCTTCCTATTCACTGGAGGGCGCCCTCCCCCAGTTGATTTGGCCAATGGTACGACATCTTTCGTGTCGCCATATTTCTTCATACTGACAAAAAAAATTATTCAGATTTTGAAATTTAAATCTTACTTCTCCACGTGGACTTTCAGAAGTTTTTTGTTCTCGAAATACCATCCACAACACCAACAAACTGGGGCAGTTGGTATTTGGTGTTCATTGAGCATATGCTCCTTTACGGATTTAGCTTCTGAATTAATCCGATGATATCGTATGTATCTATTATAAGCTCACTTTGAATCACAGTGTTGCACAATAAGCATTCAAAGTCATTTGGATGTGCTTTCGCACGATGACGATGTAGGGAAGCAGAGTGGCAGAAGTACTTTCCGCAGTCCAGACAGCAGAACTGACCTAAAATTTTGCACTATTAACAAAACAACAAGTATCTCACAAACCTTTAAGATCAGGTCGCTTCAAGGAACCATCTTGGTCAGGCTGGAAATTAGAATGAGTTTCGTACTATCGAATGTTCTCTTACCACCCTTAAACTTGCAGGATCTTGTTTTGACGACTCATCTTCTTCAGAGCTAGGAATGTCCTGAAACACTAATGTTTGAAAGAAGCTAGATTGAGGAGGAAGTTACCAATCCTTCGTTAGCGTTTTCATTATCAGAATGATCGCTTGAGACTGATTCAGCAGCAGTTGGCTTGATCTCTTCACTCAAGTCGGTTTCATCTTTATCAACTGTTTCTTTTAAACAATTGAAAATATTATTAAGGTCATTATTCTGAAATACGATTGTTCAAACTATGATCCGAAGATGAAACTCACAAATAATTTAAAGAAATCTTCAGTCATAGTGTGCGTTAATCCCTCATCAACAGGAACTGAAACAGATTCGAACTATCAAGAAGAATTGAAGAGAGATAAAACCTTGTTTCTTGCGACTAGTAGCAATTTTCCTGGAATCGCCAGGTTTTCCTTGAGTGGACATGCTGAAACTCAATTGGATTGGAATGGATTGATGGTATCAGTAGTACTTACGTATGGTTATGATTATACAAATCTTTTTTGTTATCAAATGCCCAGAAACAACATGAACAAGTATAAACATTATTAATATTATGAAGAGTTAACATATGTCTTCTCATCATATTATCTGAGCCATCAGTGCTACTTACTGAAACAAGAGACTACACATGATTACTTTTCATCGACATACCTAATATTTCTTCATCACATAGGCTGCAGATGTGAGCATCCAGATGAATTTTCATTGAATGTCTATATAGTGATGACTTATTTGAGAAAGAAACTCCACAGTCACGACAGTATAGTAGTTCAGAACTACTACTCTTGGATTTGCTTTCCGATTTTGCCGGTTTTTCCAAATTTTTCGCTAATAGCTCCATTAGCTCATTAGTAATCTGAAGATAGGGTTATTTGGAAGTTAACAGCTGGAGCATCTTACTAGAGAACTATCAGGATTAGTTACATCAGATTGATCTGTAGTTTCTCCTTCCAACGACTTCTCTCCCTAAACAGACAAACGGTTATAGTTAGATGAATTAAAAATTACGTCATGGCTATTGAGTTCAGAACTATTTGGAGATGAAACCAGAGATTCCTTTACTTCAGGTTTTTCCTCCTGAAAACAAGTTTAGAGGAAAACTCTCAAACGTTCATGAGATACCTCCACAGCTTCTGCGTTCATAGATTGGTTAAGTGTTGTAAGATATGAATATAAATTGTTAAGCATGGATTCTGATGCAGCATCCTGAAGAAATTATTAGAAACAGAGTAGAGCAGATAAACTAACGGTGCTTATTTTTTTCGGTCTAGGACCAGAGGAGCGTCGAGCTATTTTTTTCTTACTTACAGGAGGAGACGGCTTATTTTCGTTAGTACCCGCTACTTCATCACTATTATCTGATTTCTCAGGGGCATTATAGGCATCTGTAAAGAGATTTAATGTGAAGAAATTACTGAAAACTGTGTACCTGTCAATAGAGTTGCGATTGGTTCGGCTGGCCCGGGTGATCCGGAAGTACTCATGCTAAACGCCATCATCAAATAACAAAGACCAGAGCTATAACAAACCTTTTACAATGCATGTGCAACGAGCTCTTGTTGCTGAAGATCCAGCAGCAACATCCACAACTGTAGAAAGTAGAGATCTGATGAGCTTCCAACATATGTTTTTTTAAATCAGAGAAGCCACCAACTTCAGACTCGCTAACTGCAATTTAATAAAAATTAAATAAGCTTGCACAGTTGAGTGCAACCGCTTCACTCCAACGCATGATTAGAAATGATTCGAAATTTACACGTGGGTTGCGCGTGAGCATCAAACAACAAGAACGATAAAAATTAGAATAACTCACTTCTTAATTCCATATTGCATAAAGAACACTTGTGACCACTGATATGAAATCGTAAACGATGTCTGAGTAGTGAAGCATGGTGAATGAACGTACTGCCACATTCAACACACAAGAAGTTATCTACAGAATTAGAAAGAATATAAAAGATAGAAGCTTGAATATGAAACCTTTAGAAGCAACTGGTTTTGATTTAGGCATGTCCATAACTGTGGACCTGAAAGACGCAAATAACAGAATGACGAAAAGGAAGAATGACAAATGCACAAGTAGGTTGACAATGTAAGTGAATGGCGGTCATAACCATGTTGGCATGGTTCATTATTTTGAACTTATAGCGCGCCATCACTACCGCGAACAAAGTCGGCCTTGCTTTGAGTTGTTCCAAATATAAAATATAATAAGGAGCGAGATACAATACGACTTCATAGTTCGTGAACAATTTCGTGTCCATACATGGGCTCTTCACATGACCTTAGGTGTTCATAAGCAATCTTTATCAATAAATATGAACCGATGTCATCTAGCTGAGAATATGATTATGCCAATGGCAAAGAAATGATTGGACAATAACAATACAGTCTTTACATATTAATTGGAAAATAATTACGAAACTAAATTACTGTTAGAGTGATTGTGTTGGTGATTCGAGGGGGGGGGGGAGATAGAGTAGGGTTGTGCGTATATCGTAGTGAGGAGCATTTAATGAAATAGAGATTATTGATTGAACTTACTGTCAACCATCTCATCCATCTCAGAGGTAGCACATTACATACTGTGATGATCATTTCTCAATACTTTTATGATTCTTTCATTATTGCAAATCTAGACTGAATAAGAAGTTGAGAGAATCGGATGTTCCCTAGACAAGCTTCTCACGTCTTCTATTCGAATATCAATCATGGCTTCTCCTTACTAGTTAATCAAGTGTAAATTGACGATTCCTTCTCATTGCTCTATTAGGAAAATGACCTTTCTTTTTGAATCAAGGATCTTTTTCATAGAAAATGAAGTTAATGAAGCATTGATCAGCGAACTCTTGGCATTCTAATTATAAGTTGGCGAAGTGAGCTTCTCTTATCCATTTCACGCGAAAAGCCTATTGTTAGACTGTTTTTGGTTCAAATTTCGAGCTATCATTGAAATTGAAGTAGCGATTGTGACTACAACATGGGTTCTAAGCAGTTTCCGAAGGTGGATGGATGGCTGGCTGTGGTATATGGCAAATGAACTATAGTATGTACTTGTAGGATATGTCATCATCTGGTTGTATGGCGTGTCTCTTGTATGTGTTGTTGTCTATATATGGATTTTGTAAATGAAGTACAGAAGACAGTATGCTGATTACATTAGGTTTATTGCATTTAAAATGAAAATGAAAAAGAAAAAAAAATTTGTCATTAAACTGAAGAAGATTATAAATATAAATAGTAATTAAACATATGTTCAAGTAGCAGAGACCTTATTAGTATATGAGGTATTTAAGACAGGAGGAGTTGGTGAAGGAGGAGGAGGATGAGGATAAGTAACATACACAGATAGATGTGATATATGAAAGATAACTTCGGAAAAAGAAAGATTCCTCTGAAAATTCAAACATCATATCATCTCAATGACCATATATGAACGATATGATACCTGAATTATTGGATTAACATATTAAATATATATGTATATAATATATATATATATATATAAATGAGGTATAGACGTAACAAATTTTGTTGAACAAGTAAACAATAAAACAAACAACTGCCACATTTGGTCTATGTACAACGATCAATGTCTCTTGCCATTTTCCTGAGAGAGAAAGAGAGGGGATGTGGGCTGAAGAATACACAAATAAGAGAGAGAGAAAGAGAGAGAAAGGAGGGAAGAAACTCTTTGTCTACTACACGAACTATAGGATTCCGGAAAAGAGAAAGACAATTGCAAACTCTTGCCCGGCTGGATGTGCGACCTGAGCGGATATTGTGATAAGACGTCTCTAAGCTGACGAAATATACACAACTCACACATCACCAGATATCATCATCTACTCGAGGAACTAGCGCTTAAAGTTGGAGATGATAAGTGCTGACCAGGGACGAGAAGCTTATATAAAAGAGGACAATTGTTTCGAGGATGAAAAAAAGCTGATAAATACTATACTAATGTACATCACTGAAAGATATAGTTAGGACTATGAAGTTTTATAGTTACGAGGGCAAGGAAGAGGTACGTAATGATATTTTTGTTTCTAAACTAGCGTACTGTACATATCTTAATCTCTATACTCTACGATACATCTCTCTGTTCTCGACGATACAATGCCTGAGGTGAAAGGAAAAGAACCGTATAGGGAAGACACGCAATTAACGACTTGAATTGAATGGAATCGCTATGATGATTAGAAAGGAAAGAATAGATTAAATGATTATTAAATATGGATACATATATGGAGCCTCAAATCAGTTGCATGAGGGACGAGATGATATACAAGGACAAATGGCAACGCTGAGGAAATTTAGTAGCAGAGAGATAGAGAGAGATAAAGGAATAATCAAAGAGAAGGGCCCATGAGCGTTTAAAATACTAACACGATTTTCCTGGCGTTGTTCCCTACAGACGTAGAATTCACGTATTTGAAGTGGCGTCCCACTCGTGTCAAGAAAGCGGAAGAAGTAGACGATGTGACTAACATCATCTCTGAATTACTCGTGAGAAGCCTGGAGCAGGTGAAGGTTGAAAGTCAGGGCATCATTAGCCACATATCCACATCGATTACATTTGAATGGATGTTCATAACCGTGATATCCCATATGAATTTGGTACATGGCTTGTTCCTGAAAAAACATAAAGTTAGAAAAGTCCATACACTACGAGTTCTGTATAACATTTTGCATTCTCACTCATTAAATTTCGTTTGACAGCGCGCGTACTATGAGGACCGCCTGCCTGCCCGCCTGCTCGTCCTCGACGCCGCGCCAAAACAGAGCATTAAAAAGTCAAAGAAGCTCGTGATGAGCCGTCGCAAATGGATAAAAAATTGTTTCTTCATACTTATCAAATATGGAAATACATAGTAAAGGACATAACATGTTTTCCATTTATCTCTCCTATTTTCTTTCTGCCAATTTTTTTTGTGGATGAACAATTGAAAAGTGAAAAATATGGAGATGAGAGGAAGAAAATGAAGGAGAAGAGAGAGCATTTCGAAGTTGAGCTCCATGTTGCTTTTAAAGCAGATGATGTCCTTTGATTGTCAATAGACATCTTGTTTTTCGTTGTGTATGACCATAAAAGGACGTACTTTTTTCATCAGCCATAGTACGAGCTGGCCAACACACAACAACAACAACAAATGTCTTTTTTGGAAATTGACAATGTGGCTTTGAAAAGCCGAAGGCACTTTCACGCGTTTAGACTTTCTCATACGATGGTTTTCAAAAATGGATGTGTATCAGCAGCACATGAATTTTTATATAAGGGGGGGAACAGGGGGCCAGAGAGATCATCACCAAAGAAATTCAAAGACTGTACCTGGAAAGCCATACGGCAGTGCTGACATTGGAATTGCCATGATGGCTCATCTCGTTTGCCCTGAAAACGTAAACGAGATCAGAGAACTTTCGAAGTAGTCTTTGAATTTGGTTTAAGATTTTTCCTACGAAACTTTAAGGTCATTTCTCTCTTTTAATCATAGCAGAGGGCAAACGTAAGAACTTACTTGGAGAACATTTGATATTTGGGCTAAGCATGCTTGTTGGAATATTTGAAGCTTATTATCAGGTGTCAGCTGAGAAAACGCTGATGAGACAGGCAGTGAAGATATGGATGAAGGTTGTTGAGGCTGTGGTTGAGCTATTAATAAGCCTTCCGATGGAGTACTTGAGGCATCCATTTGCTAAAAATTCACAAACTTAGAAAAGGTACACTACAGCAAAACACAACGACAACGACAATAGCGTCAGGCATCACGTTCATTACACACACGAAAAATATTTATAAAACCTCACCTCATCAGTTTCTTTGTCTTCACAGGTGCTCTCGCATTCGCTGGCTGATGGGCTCTTGCCTAGGAGACGTTCGCCGATCTGATCGACTTTGAATCCTTTGCGTTTACGAGACTCTGATTCATCTGCAGAACTGCTTTCTCCTTTAGTGCTTTCAGCGGGACTGTTAGTGCTTCCACTTGAACCGTCCATATCATCGTCTCCAACAAGTCCGCTCTCTGACTCGTTTTGGGTGTCAACGTTCACTTGTTCGTCAGCATCAGCTCCTTCAGTGTTTTGGACGGATGGCATGAGTCCAGACATTTGAGGGAGGGACTGATACAAACTAACAATAGGTGATTGTCCATTAGCAGCTCCAGCTGTCATGAGATGAGAAACGTTGTGTCTTAGCAACTCATCTTGCGAAGTCGTTTGGAAGTCGCAAATGGCACAATTGAGTTGAGAAGGTTGTGATAACCCTGCGAGCCCGTTGATAAGGTTGAGCTGCTGCTCCATCTGATGTTGTCGAAGAAGCATTTGACTGGCATAGTTAAGACTTTGACTAGTGACAATAGGAGTGGCTAATCCCAGAGACTGAACTAAGCTCGTTGAGGGAGATGAGCTTTGGAACTGATTGACCTGATATGAGCTACTGGTACCAGTGCTTTCCGCCTAAACATAGCAAGATGAATAATGAGAAATGTGGAAGGCTATATAATACCTGACTACTGGATCCTGGAGAAGGATCACCAACTTCCACACCTTCTGGTACTCGTCGATGTTCGTATTTTCGGAGATGCAACTGAAAGAGAGGATCATGAGTGATGATTGCAGACTGTTTGACAAACCTTGAGACTATGGCAATATTTTGTGGCATATGTACAATCCATACAACGGAACTGATAAACATTAGTGTGACTCTTCATATGTGAGTTTAACATAGATTTGTTCACACATTGATATGAGCACTTCTTACATTGGAATGGCTTGCTTCCCAGATGGTTTCGGATGTGATATTCCTGAAAGAACATAGATAAGAATCAACAACTTATAGCTTGAGCTTACCAAATGATGCTTGTATTCAGTTACGAAATTACATTTCGGACAATTCATTTGTTTATCAGCGGGGATATGAGTTCTTGCATGAGCCCATTGATCGTCTTTGGAGTAAGAAATGTGTGGGCACTGCTTGCATTTCAATTGCTTAATCTTTCCGTTGCTATTACGACGAGGCTCGGGATTTCCGGATGATCCACTTCCACTTGGTCCGTTGTTACCGCCTGTAGAGCTAGCTCCTGTACTTCCAACTTCAGCAGCTGTAGCTTCATCCATTTGAACCATAGCTCCCAGAGCATTAGCCAAATTGACGCTATTCTCGCTATTCAGGATCGGTGACTTTTCAGCCAAAACACGAATCTGATCGAGAGCTGAAGATTGAAGCATGGGTGCCATGGAGTTGAGTAAGCTGGAAGAAGTGAGATTTTCAGCTAAAGACAGGGCAATTGAAGACACGATGCTATTCTGAAAAACAAGAAAAGATTAATGATGATCAGAGGACAAATCTCTTACTTCAGGTAGACTGTTTCCAGCTTGAGCAGCAGCAGCATTGGCTGCATCAACTAATGAGGCCATAGTCGTGGATAAAGACGACGTATCCGTAAAAGGAGAAGCCACTATGGTAGCTGCGGCTGAAGAGACAGCGGATGGAGAGGTAGCTCCACAGGAATTCAGCGAAGTCGTACTGATGCTACTGGCAGCCGATGACGTCGTCGGTGTAGAGGCATCCCGAGATTCGATCTCTAAGCCAACAGCCAGTTGCTCCTCCACTGTGTGCGATTCACGCATGTGCTTCTTAAGTCTGAAAAAGAAGAAAATAAAAATGAGAACTTATTAGGATGAAGCTTATCAAAGGATATCCTATTTCTATCTACTCGTTACACCCAAAATTTTTTGAGCACGAAACTTCAGAAGTGACGTCCACTCCTGGAAGCTCACAAGCTTCGTCTCAACGAATATCATGTGCAGTTTCCGGATTTCAAATGAGAAAGTACAAGCTAATTGGCGACTAGCAGCTTGTCTTTTTTGTTTCATTCTCTTCCTTTTTTTGTTATTTGTCAAGAAGTTAGAGAAAAACAGATGTGAACAAGAAAAACAGGAAGAATACTTACCGTCCTTCGGTGCGACTGGTGTAATCACACATGCTGCATTGATGATCTCCATGAGTATTCATATGTGAATTGTAGTGGAACTTGGAGTTTGAGCTAAATCCACAAATGGGACAGACTAATGGCATTCCTTGACCGGTAGGAGTTGGTACCAATGAAGGTCCTAATCCTGGTGGTCTACAGAACGATGTGCTGCTATGGTTTGTAGATGATGACCCAGTATTGCTATTCGTGCTATTTGTGTTGTTGCTGTTGCTGTTAGTATTGCCACTGCTTCCAGCTTGATCCGAAGACGTCGTAGGCTCCTCAGACTTAGGTTGTTCCGGGTTACTGAAGGCACTGTTGTTGCTCTGCACGAACTCATTGCGTTCATGCCCGGCGGCAACAATGGCGTCGGTCAGCTTGCTGAAGGACTCTTGCGTGTATTTCAGCAGAAGTTTTCTGGAACAAAGCGTTCAGTATGCGGATTTCGGATATTTTTTCAAGGAATTTTTTATGAAAATATAGATTCGTCAACTAAATAAGTGCCAAATACCGTATTCTATGGCAATTCCGATGAAATGTTTCAATGTGTTATGTATGCGTTTGTTGAATAAAAGTTGAAATGTACTTAGGAAAAATAGACTGGAGGGGGGGGGGGGGGGGGGGGGGACAAAAAGGAAAAAAAATAGAGTTTGTTGCTTTCTCAAAGACTTTCTTCATTCTCTCTCTCTCTCTCTGTCTGTCTGTTTCAATGTCTTTCTGTTGGCTGCTCTGCATCATGCGTGCTTGTCAGAGAGAGACTAACCTATTTCCATCTCAACTCCATACACTCAACTCTTCATCACAACTTCCTCTCCCCCCCCATCTTACTCCACCCCCATCACATTCCAATCGTTTTTATAAACTATTGAATCAGTAACAGAGACATACAAAAAAAGAGAAAAAATAGGAAAAAAAAGAAAAAAGACCCCATTCGAGTAATTTATGTGGAAAGCCCTCCTATTCTATTCGTTTGCACTTGTTTTTCAGCACGTGATTTTCAGATGAGCTCAAAGTGCATTTGGCCAACGGCTTCTGATCGGACTTTTTTCTTTTTTTCTCTTCTTTTTTGATACTTTTCCTTCATCTTTTTTTTTCTATTCCATCATAAAAATCTTTGCTTCTCTCTCTCTCTAGCAATCTCTCTCTCTCTCTTTCTCTCTCTCGTCATCGCACTTTCTATCAATAGTATGGAAAAAAGATAAAGAGACGAGAAGTTTTTCAAAAAGACTAAGTTCAGCTCGAGGCACATAGGTTGAAAGCGGAAAGAGTTTGAAAGCTGTCAGCCTGACTGCCATGTATGGACTGACAAATTGAAACATTATCGTCGAAATATTCGGCTCTCATAAACGATGAGAACGAAAAAAGTAGCGGAAGAGTATTTGACGAGAAGAAGATGAAATGAAAACTCACGAAGCATCTTCCTTATTGTCACGATGATCCTCGGCTCCTAGCGTGTCCATTTTTTCAGGTTCTAAGTCATCTGTAAAGATAATAAGTACAACTGATTAAAAACTATTTTAGGTGTTGTTGAAAATTCCCAATTTTGGGTTTTCAATTCATCTTCATATCATAAGGAATAACATCTGGTGGCTGTACATCAAAGCAACAGCATGAGTTTCAAGCTACAGTAATCAGATGCTTTTGAGACACAAAAATAGAAATTGCACTCGAAAAACTGAAGCAGAGGGCAACAGCCCTTTGAAGGAAAACACTTGGCAAGCTGAGAGACACAAGCCGTTCCCCGTTCTCCTGTTCCGTCGTATTTTTTTTCTTTTTATCTGCACTTCTAACAAAAACGGAATCGGAGACGAAGTAGACAAGCTTCATTAATTAGGAAAACGCCTAGACATGTTTCTTCGCTTTCAAGCTCAATTTCTATTCTGAGTACTGAAGCTGCCCTTACTCTCAAGCACGTTCTCACCTTATGTGAACTTTTGCACGCTTCTTAACAAAACTCACGTGAAAGTTCGAATTACGTGAAAGTGCACGCTAAGTTCACGTCTTGCACTCACATTTTTTTCGAGGAAAATGCACGCAAAGAGTGCGCCGAAAAAAAAAGTACACAAACCTCTTTCGATTTCTACTTTCACATTGGCTGCTATCCAGTCTGTAGACGTCTTCTGCGGTGAAGCTTGCTGTTGATCACTAGGTGAAACAGCTACAGCTGGTTGTCGCAGCGGTGTATTCACGGCATCAGAATCAACATCTACATCTATGCTGTTGTCTTGTTGAGCAAGTTGACGATCCATTGCGCCATGATGCTCCGATTCACCGTCTGACGGTGATTGTGAAGCAGAGACATCATACGAGGCAGTGTTCTCAGATGATTGTCGTTCTTCCTGTAAAGACATCTTATCAAATGGTTGTATAATACGATATAAATGAAACATTTCAGGAAATCATGTAGAACGTCTGATAAAGGGGGGGGGGAAGGGAATGCGTTTCAAATTGGTAAAGCTCAACAAAGGTTGAAGCTTACCATACACAATCGCAATTTCTAATTCAAGACCGGGGGAATCGAAATTGATATGAGCATGAAGGGAATTGTAGGGACAATTATCAAAGAATCTTAACTTCCAATTGCATCATATAGTATAATTGGAATCGGACAATTCTAATTTCAATTATGAAAATATATGGCTGTGACGTAAAGGAGAAGACGTCAATGCATTGTAGCAACACACGTTGATAACAATATTAGGTTATAGCAAGTAATGCTCTTATAGGGTAAGAGAGAGAGACAGAGACGATGAGAGAGCAAATCGAAAGATGGGATTTGGAGAGGTATGAGAGGGAGGGAATTAGCAGACAAACTTCGATCATAAATAATCAAAGATTTACTTTCATAATAAATATCTACTCCACCCTCTTCGTCAAACCACGTTTCGTTGCTCTCCCTATTAGAACATCAAAAAAACAAGTCCTTACCTCTTTTGGACTATGTGTGCTATATGCTGGATCTTGATCCATTACTTCTTCCTTTTCTATACTTTTTGGCGTTACCGCACTTGGAGACGGCAGAGGAGCTGACGTCATGATCGTTCCTAGCTGTGCCATAGGACGTGGCACGTCAATCCCGGCACTTGGACTCCACTTCTCCCAATCAACTTTCGTGTTATTATTAGCTGCGCTTGCCCAATCAGTAGCCGAAGGCTGTTGCCACGGTTGCCTACAACAGATTATGTGTTAAATATACAAATTTCCTTATTCTGATTTTTCATATAAGCTAATAAGGTTAAGAAGCTTACCGTAAAATTGGCGGCTGTGGCGCTGTGATCCCGCCCACGAAAGAAGGCGGGTATCGCCAGGCTCCTTGATGTGCCATCGAATGAAAAGCTCCTTGAGCTACACCTTCTAGTTGTCGAGCCTGAAATGAAAAAATATATAAAAAGGTTTTTGGAAGGAGAAAAGCAAAGTTTCTTCTTGTTCAGATGCAATTACTTGAAGCCATTGAAAGTAAGAAAAGTAAATGAGAAAACGGGAGAGTTCGAGAAATCAAGTGGAAAAGCTTTGAAGCCTTGTTAGGTCATCCAATCTTGAGCAATAACTTTAAAGGTCAAAAAAGAAAATTTTGAATGAAAGAAGACAGAACAGCACAAGATGAGAATGATCAGTTGATGTGTTTATGATCAAATCACACATTGCAATTCAATAACAAACATTTGAATGTGAGAAAAGAGAATTTGAAATTCAAAAAATTAAAAAAAATAAAAAACAGCCTGAGGTAATAAATGTGATGTGGAAAGGTTTCTTGTCTTTCCTTAACCATTGCCGACGAAAAACAATGGTGAGAGAATGGTAAAGGGCAGCCTTCGTACAAGCATGGAATGATAGGAGGGAAAAAGAGATGTAATAAAGGGACATGTGAAGATTGAAAGAGAGAGAGGGACAACAGAGAGAGGGATATAGTCTGTCTGTGTGGCGACTTGTGTGTGTGTTGGCAATTGGCGACAAAAACAGACTGAGGTAGTGTTAAGTTGTTGGAACTTGTTAAAAATGCTCCAAAAGTACATGGAGCCATTTAGTTTCGGAAAATGAAGCTCAAAAGGAAAAAATGAAAAAAAAAAACTTGTTTAAAGCTTCATTATAAGCTTAAAACTTGGAGAGTTAGGGTGGTTAGTACATTCTCTTTGAAATTTCCCAATCGAGCGCTAGGTAGCGCGTGAAAAGCGACAGAATGCACGTGACACATGCCCAGAGGGCAAATAGCCAGCAAATGAAGAGAAAAAAAAAGAGTAAGAGAGAGAAAGAGGAAAAGAATGTCTGGAAAAAAAGGCATGTCGTCTGTCTGCTAGAGATAGATGGGGGGAGGAGAGGACAAAAAAATGAACTACACTAGTGCACAGAGTGGATTTGCAAGTAGTTTTTGTTCTTCAAGAGAACTATCATCGTTGCGCCTTTCATACGTGAGGATGAAGCATGTCATGAAAGAATATGAAGAAGTCATATGTTTGAAATATTGCAAAAAACGAGGAGACACCCGACTATCTTTGATCAACGAAAAAATGTGTGTTGAAAGTGCAGTTATTGGACTGGCAGAGTGCTGAAAAACAAGTGAGAGACGTAGAAAACACTGAATACACACGAACGGCCACGACGGCGTTGAGGCCTGAGGAGAAGAAGAAGAAGAAGAAGAGGAAAGAAGATGAAGAATGAGAAACGTCTTCAGAAAGCTTCACTTTAATGATAAAGAGAGAGATTTGATGGCAACGTTGTTTAGGAGGTCATTAACAGTTAAAAGTTTACTTAAGAAGGGCAAATTAGAAGAAGGAAAGATAAGAATAGAAGGTTAACGAGAGAAGGAAAGTGCGCCGTTCAATAGAAGGCCTGAATCAGAAGATATTCTCAATGGATAAAAGCATTGAAAAACAGATATTTTTATAAAAAGCTGACGTCGATAGTTCAACTATCACGAAAGTACAAAAAGAAAAGGAAAAAAAAGTTCTGACACAAGGCCAGAAAATAAAAAAAAAGTGAGAGTAATAGAAGAAGATGAAAAGAAAAGGAGAATGGAGGAGAGCTATAGAGATGGGGCGAGAAAAAAGATTTTCAAGTAGTAAAAAGTACAAAAAAGTAAGTAAATAATAGAAAAATATAGATAACAGGTGATTAAGAGACATAGGAGGAAGGGAGAAACTTAACAGAGAGAGGGAATGACAGAGAGAGAGGAAGAATGGCTGCAGCACAATGCAGATTCCTTCCAAATATGGACATACACACAAAAACTAATCATCGCACTTAACGCTAATACTGACAGTACAGCAATGGTTCAACTCAAAAAACGATCATCAATAGAGACTTCAATCGAGATTTAAATTGCCTGTGGGCACTTATAGGTAGAAAAACTAAATTTGAAGCTTGGCCGAAAGCTCACAAACGGCTGAAACTCAGCAAGCGGGGCGGAACATGAAGCTGTGCTGGCCGGAAAAGAACTGCCCTTCTAGTACATGTAGCCTTCGCCGATGGCGACGTGCACTTTGTGTTGGGCAAGGAATAAAACACCAGAAAATTGACGACGAACAGACGAAAAAGGAATACGAAATGTGAGTAAGAAAAGCTTGAACAGAGCGCATCCTAATGAAAGAAAAATAAATTGCCACCAATACATCAGAATCGGTCAATCATCAGAAAGTTGTGCTCTCTCTCGTATGCTGACGACAGCATCAAGCAAAGTGGTTAGAGAGGAGAAGAAAATGCTTCATGACGAACGTGAGGACGTCGAGATGGCAAAACGATTCAGAATGATGACATCGTCACGTGAAGAGAGATACAGAGGAAGAAATAGAACTTCTATTTCAGATGCGAGGCTTAGCAGGTGTAGAAATGCGAAAAACAGGAGTGACGATGAAGAGGACATGGCTGTTGATGCATTTTTTGAATTTTCATAAAAATGTCTACCAGAGACATGACCTCAATCGAGTTGTGTGATGGAACAAGTGTCTCTCTCTCTCGGGTCAAAATATAAAAAAAATCGACACAAATCAAAGGAGAGGAATCAAAGAAGAGGAAAAAGAGACAGAGAGAGAGCAGGAAGAGATTGGAGACAAGAGATTGCACACGATAACTCTCTTGAATAATTAAGGCAATGAAATTAGAAACAAAAAGTTCCCTGAGGCAAAAATGAGCAGAATCAGAGAAAAAAGATATTCCCTGCTAACACTATGTGACAAGGACAATTCAGGAAGTCGACGCCAAATAATGACAAAGAAGGAACGTCGCCCTAGTGGATGGCATGAGATTTAAAAGAAAACGAGGTATGCAAGGTTAAGCAAGTACTTTGAATAAAAACCATTCTGTTTATAAGGATAAGAGAGAGAGAGAGCAAGAAATGGAGAGACAGATAGTTAGAGAGAGAGGGATAGAGAGAGAGAAGTAGAGCTTAGTGGCCAAGTTCAATGAATTCCTCACAACTTCTACTTCCTCAAAAGCATTTTAGAAAATGAAACAGAAAAAAGGCTCAAGAGTGATAAAAAAAGATGAAAAAGACAATAAAAAGAGCTAATCAGAGTACTTGGCGTGTACTTCGTTCATGTAAACATCAAAGAAAAACATCTCCTTCAGGCAATTTCTATTTTTCAATTTCTCGTTACACTAAACAACATTGGGAAAAGTTCTTTTGACTTTTTCAAAAAAAAAAACTCTTACCCCTTCATCTCTCTTTCTTCCTCTCTCTTCCTCTCTCTCACTCTCTTTCTACTCTTCATTAAAGATGGCCGTTGTCTCATCTGTTTTCTATTTCCAAACTTTTTCTTCATCAAAGCTTTTTTTATTGAACTGAAGAAGAAGAAGAAAAAAGAAAGAAGAAGAAGAAGACTACTAACTCTCTCTCAAACGATATCTTCTTATTCATTCAATCTCTCTCTCTATATCTCTCTCTCTCTCTCTCTATGTCTATGTCTATGTTAAACTGTAATGAAACATGACAGACAAAGAGAGATGTCTCTCTCCAAATAGGATTAAGCTTTCTTCAAAAACTTCTTCTTTATACATTATCTAATAATCTATTTTCATTTATAATGTTTTCTTTGAAAACATTTGAATAAACCTTAAGGGCATTTGAGTGTTTGAAAAACTATATGACCTTCAAGGTTAACAAATGTGAAACATCATTAGATAATGAGAGAGTAGCATATGAGAAGAGACAGACATACAGAGAGAAATAGATGAGATGAGAGAGAGAGAGAGAAAGAGTTAGATGAAAGAGAATAATATTATTAAAACATATTTTTGCCTTTTTCAGCTATTTTTGGATATAAAAAGTGAAGAAGAGAATATTCTGATTTTGTTTCTTGTTTTTGGTCAGGAAGCCGATGAAGCCTTTTGATGATTTTTTGGTTACAACGACGACGGAGTAGAACGTCCCATAAAACGATAAAAGTTAGTACTTAAGCTGTACTTTCTATTGACTGATTATAGAATTTTTTTGTTGAACCAAGAAAAAATGAAGAGAGAAAAAGAAAAAAAAAGAGAGAAAGGAGTTAATCTGCGATAGAGAGATGTTAAGGATTGAGAGACTGAGAGAGAGAGACAGAGATAGAGAGAACAGAGGATGAGGAACTAAACAAGCTCCAGAAAAACTTTTTGCATTTTTATGGAAATTCAATATGAAGAAGCTGGAATGAATTGAAAATCTAAGAGTTATCAGGTAAGTGGGTGACTATCGCCATGGTAAGGAGGGGCGAATGGTTAGATGATTGGAGAGAGAGAGAGAGAGTTGAAGGAATTTCTTCAAATTCACTTCAATACATCCTATTGTTTTCAAAAATCTAAATAGCTGAATAGTACAGGATGACTAAGTTGTTTCGAGTTTAGAAAGTAGGAAGAAAGGAGAGAATGATGAGTGAAAGAGAGATAGAGATAGAGAGAATACAACCGTTCCGAATGTCCACACATAGAAAGAGAGAGATAGATAGAGAGAGAGGGAAAGAGCAGCAGCTTAAAGGAGAAATGAAAGATCGAAGCAAAAAAATTGCGAAACTGCGTTTTCCAGTTTGATGAATCTTGAAGATTCACGGAATAGGAATAGCTCACAATAAGTTCTTCCTTAAGAGAAAAGCAAGAAGAAGCTAAGGAAAGGTTCCAATCATCATCAGTCAAAAGCTCAAATGATCCAATGAACTTGAGTTTGCTTGTTCAGCTTTCATTCAATTTTTCGTATTTCAAAAGCACAAAAAACCTTTTTCTCCGCCTTCATATTCGAGAATCTGAACGTCATTTTAGACAATTAAATGGAAATAATTGACTTTTTTGTGTCTCGAAATATAGAAAAGGGGAAAGAGGGGAAGGAGGGAGGGAAGGAGAGAGAGAAAGAGAAGGGTTTCACCGAGTAAAATGGGTCTCGAACAGAATATGAAGTTGCGTGAAAACGAAGACGATGAAAGAATAGCGGAAATGGCAAAAAAAGCTTGGAATAGTTAATCATCTTCAATAATGTATTCATGTCCTCTGAGCTTATATACATCACGTGTAATATCACTCGAGTATGAAGATCACACAGAGAGAATAGAATATGGAGAGATGAGAAGAGGGAGAAGCTCAGATTTCGCAAAGAACCAAATGAATGAAGAAGACGAATATGCTTTGATATGTAAAAGCTGGCACGAAGTATCAGATTTGAACCTGATCAAGCCTCATATCCATAGCCATTTCGTATGTGATCATAAGGAAAAAAGAAGAAAATGCAATTAGATCTTTGAAAGAAGTAGCTAGTTTTCAATGCAACTAGAAAGCTTTGAGTAAGCTTATACATCAAGCTCAACCAAAGAGAGAGAGAGAGGGAGAGAGGGAGAGAGAGAGAGAGCAAAGAGAATTATGAAAAATGGATGAATATCAAAAAGAAAAGGTTTTATAATTCTTAACTCAAAAAGAAACATTTTTCCTTTTCCACTCAACACACACCCACGTGCCTTCCCCTCCAAATTTCTTTTCCCAATCATTTGAGCTAATTTGAAGCTTAAATTTTTTTTCTTCTTCTCCTTCTTCTCCTCTATTCGCAACATGGGCTTCAGCACCAACTTTCCAGCTCAATCAAATCTTCTAGACGTTACTATATAAGATAGAAAGGTGATAGAAAGGTTATTGCGATAGATCTTTCAATGAACTCGTTCAAAGTATCATTTTAGGAACATCATTTGCATATCCAACCTGACTCTCAGGTGTTCCAAACGTGAATATGCAAATGAGTGAGAAGAGCGAAGAAAATGTATTTTCAACTTCTTTTTTTTCCATACAAAAATATTGTTTCAAACACACAAATCTGCCATAAAGCTTTCATCAGAATGAAAAAATGGGGATCTCGCTCTCCATCCATCTCATTCCATGTAAGGAGCATTCAAATCTGAGCTTCAACTTGGCGAATAAGAAAAAAAACTTTCATATGAATACTTGCTTCTTTACATATTCTATTATTCCATAAAAAACGGGCAAGAAGACGATGTGATGAATGAAGGAAGCTATATGATTACTTATACATACATACTAAAAGCTGAATAATGAAAAAGATTTCGCCAGAAGCTAGACATTAAGCTGAATTGGGAGAATCAGAGAAGCTTCTAGTTGATCAAAGGACGATGAGAATGCGATGAGTTTCAGATGAGGCTTTTCATGAATCGACCTATCCCCTTCCAGTCCCTTCTCTCTCCTTCCCCCCCCCCTACAGCATTTTCTCTCAGTCTCTCCGACAATCAGCTTTTCTTTGACTCTCTAGCTGTCTGGTCATTTCTTTCGCTCTCTCAGCCATTCATATTATTTCATTCAGCTGTTTCTATCATCACTGGTCCCGTGACTAGTCGATCTCTTAGAGCTTCTGGCTACGTCAATGACAAAAAAACCGAAGCTTTGACAAGTCCCAATTTCGCTTTTTTTTTTCGCGGCTTCTTTCAATTTCATTTCAAATTCACTTTGTTTATTTATACTTCTATAGTAGAAAGTATTCAAGCTTTGATATATGAGCGTCAATTTTCCTTTTTGGGTCAGATAAAAGTCCCAAAAATAGTTATTTAAGCTTAAAATTGAATGCTCAAACAACTCGAGCACTTTATTAGGATCAAATTATCAAAATCAAGGTAAGGCATCGTTTGAAATGGCTTAAAGTGCTTCTCAAGTTCATTTGATGAAAAATAAAGAGAGCGCAACCCCTTTTTTTTCCCAGATAATTTGAATGAAATATTTAAAAAGTGCCAGATGAAAGAGAGAGAGAGAGAAGTTACTACATCTGTAGAAGAATTGGGGGTGGTAGATGAGTAGAATGAGATGAGCTTAAGGGCTACAAGTAATCGCACAACAAGTTGTAATACAAATCAAATGATCAATTGTAAACTTGACATACCTGAATTGGCGTGTGTGTAGCCAAATGTATCAATGGGTCACAAGCTTGCCACGAGCCCTGCAAAAAAAGAAAATTAAGAAATGATTAAATATATTAAAAGCAGCAGATGAAGAAGAAGAAGAAGCAAGAACACGTAGACGAAGAAGAAGAAGTAGATGAAGCAATGCGAATACAAAAAACCAATAAGATGATATGATTCTAGGGTAGAGCTTTGATGTTCAACTCCAAAAAAAGAGGGAAAGCGGATGAAAAAAGGTAATACAAAGGTAGAAAAACGTCAACAGATAACCAAAGCCATGATAATGATTATTCAAAAAAAAAAGTGAAGAAAAGTCTTTTTTGATTTTGGGATGGACATAAGGGAGGGAAGGGGGGAAAGTTGGAGAGAAGAAGAGAGATGAAGTGAAGAGAGTCAAGAATTCTTACGACGACGCTTTTTTGGGATGATAACACACATAACTGATAATGGAAACTGTTCTCTTCTTGGTCGTCTTACTCCCCATCTCCTTCTCACTTCTCTCACATCTAATGTAGAAGCTAAGAAAAATGAAATTTTTTTTGATAACGAAATGCGAAAATTCTATTCTGCAGCACTAGAGAAGATCTGTCTGTTCGCAACATTCTTGTTTTTTCATTTTTCCCAATCACACAAATCGTAAAAATGAAACTTTGCTTTGAGCTTTCATGTGCCATATATGGAGTTACAGCTCGTACTAGTACTACTACCTTAGGCATCACATCGCCCTCTCTCTCTCTCTCTCTCTCTGTTTCTTCCTTCTCTCCATCCCTTCTCTTTGAATTAATTTAATAATTCAATGTATACAAATATAAAAAAAATGATATAGAAAAGCTGGCCGTATGTATGAAAGCCCACTCGTTTTGCTTCAAAAACGAAACAAAAAATGGAAAATGACGTTAAGCAAATTGTCTTCAGAATTCCAAAGGTCATACCATTTCCAAGTTTTCGCAACTTTGGAAGAGAAGGCTTGTGGGCAAGCAAATGTGGGGAAAAAAGCAGTCAAATGAGCTTTAAGGTCACAACCAATACACAACATAATGCTTTAGGATGCAAAGATTAAAGAATAAAAATCTTTTTTTTTCCGCATCTCTCACCTTATTGCTTTCTTCAATATGAGCCATTTAAAGGCTTTGAAGACTTTATCCTCTAGCGTACATATGATATGCTCAATCTAGAAACAGATAGTTAAGTCTTTGTATAGACATAGAGAGAGAAAGAGATAGATAGAGAGAGAGAGAGAGAGAGATAACAAGAGATACGAAAAATAAAAAAAAAGCAAAACTGTTTCAATCAAATCTCATCAATCAAATACTCAAAAAAGGAGATATTCAAATTTCGAAATGCTTACAAGAGACATGGAAATAGTACATGAGAATGAGAGGTGTAAAGAAAAAAAGGAAAGGATTAACATCGGCTTCATAGGAATTAACGTGGACGACGACAAGAAAAGGGCGGTCCCATAAAGAAGAAATCCAATTTAGGCAAGAAATTAGATAAATTTTCAGGAGTCCAATGAGGTACTCTAGCAAGCCAACCTTCATCTGGAGCCCAACTTCTGGTTTTTTTAAAAAACCCTTTTCTGTTGGCGAAAAAAATTGGAAAAAAAGCCTCAACACGCGTTTATAAATCGGCTTAGACTGAATTGAATGATGATGATGAAATGGAGAGAATATTAAACGAAATAAAAAAGAGTTTTGGTTTAAAAATAATTTTGATGAAAGCGCGAAATGGCGAAAAGAACAACCGCAAGACGACGACGGCGACCCAGACGACGAGCATTTGCACGATCGTAGCAAAAAAAAATGATTGAGCAAACAGAAAAAAACCATTTTCTTCCGCACTTTCGACCTTCATTGCTTACTCTTCGGAAATATCTTTGAAGAAAAAAAAATGTTTGGAACAAACGTCAAAGGACATGTTTCATCAATACATCACAGAAAGAACTGTATTCTCGAGACGACGACGACGACGAAGATGATGATGATGATGATGGAAGACAAAAAACGAATTCTCGAGATGACATTTTCTCACTAAAAATGGATGAGAAAAAAAAGAAGAAGAAGAAAAAAAAATTAAATGAAGCTATGTGAGTAGCCAAAAGATACACGCACGTGATCAACTCGTTTGGTCTGAGCAGAGAAACGAGTTGCACGAGATTAGCACATGAGCTATGAATTTGAAGCTACAAGCTGACGAGACATGAAGAAGATAGGAAAAGGCATTTCCATATATTTTAGGTTTTTGGCCTCGACATAAAAAAAAGAAGAGTGGGATGGTGTGGGGGGGATGGCAGAGAAGAAAGTTAAGATGCAAAAGCACCTAAGGGGTTAAAGGAATTGACATGTATGTATGTGCTTGTGTTGGATGTAGAAATCGATGATGTTTCCGGCTTTCCATGTATGTGTCGAGAAGAGAGGGTGTGGAGAATCGAAGGAGGAGGACGACCGACCTCTAAGAATAGCCATTAGTTGAGACGGCATGTTGCATGTTCATTTATAACTTCTCTATGAAAATGAAGCATTTTCGAGGAGTGAAGGGGGTGGAAAGAAAAAAAACTTTTGTTCAAAGCTTTCCTTTTTCATTTCTTTCCTCAGCATAAATGCATCATCATCATCTAGTTAACTATATGAGAATATGATGTTGAGGATATAATGAGATCAATCTCATTGTCGCTATGAGAGAATAGAGTGAGAGAGAGAGAGAAAGAGAGGGACAGATATAGAGAGAAAAGGAGATGCATCATCTCATTTTGTTGTCTAAATGCTCGATAGGAGTAGAGAGGATGAAAAGAATGTTTCAAATATTCTTTTCTTCCTCTATATGTTTAGATAATAAGTGAAGATAACTCAAAGCTGAGAGAGTAGCAGACTGAGAGATTGGTACAAAAAAAAAGAGAAAAAAAACGGAGAGAAAGGCAAAATGAAGACAAAAAGCCTTACGCAGTCCAACAAAGTTAGCGCAAAAAAGGGAAAAGGGAGAAGAAGACGAATGACCAGCCGATGAAATGAAACAGAAAAAAGGAGCAAAACGACAAAACTGAGAGAAAAAATAAAAGAAAAAAGAGCTAAAGAGTGAGAGAGACTGGGAGAGAGACGGAGGCAAAGAAAGAAAGAACGAGATGATAACGTTGGAAAGAGAGAGGTCAAAGAGCGAGCAACAGACCAATTTTTTTGGGGCGAAAAAAAAAGGTCTCATTAGATAGTTTGAAAAGAAACAAATTAGATGAAGCTGGAGGAGAGCAATGACTTTTCAACATACATACACAAATCCAAACTAAGTGTAAGAGAGAGAGAGAAAGAGATTTAATATGAAAATGTGGTTGTGAAAGCATCAAAGCATTAAAGCTTCTCCTTCTTGTGTTGCATTTTCAAACTTATAGGACAAAATGTTATAAAAAAAAGAGAAAAAAAATGAGAGAAAGACAGAGAGAAATGTGTTGACCCTCCCACTTTGAATTAGAGAAAGGTTGAAAAAGAGATGGAAATGAAAGAAAAAACTTAAAATGCCAAAGGGACTCTCTCTCTTCCTCTAAACCTCAATAGAGCAACAGCTGTTCTCCTTCAAAAAATTTTTGTTACACGGCTATTCTACTAGAGAGGGAAGAGTTAGACTGAGAGAGAGAGAGAGTGAGATCAAATGAGCACCTATTCTTCTCTTTCTCCTCTCTCTTGGCTCACAATAATTTCCCAAATGGCTTTACTTAAGCAGGTAAGCAGCTCAACTCATTTCCTTCATTCAGTCTCCCAACCCTGTGTCAGCATTCGCCTTTTCACTTCTCATAGTAAAAAGAATAATTACAAATGCAACGATAAGATTTGATATGACGTTTTACACACACTTCGCAGGAAAGTTTTCATCTGATTGATGGACTATCGTCTTTTCAAAAACGATCACTGCGTTGGAGGTAAACGTTGCCTGCGGCCAAGTGCCAATCACCATTCTCGTTTTTTTTGCCTCCTGTTCTTCCAATTTTTTTTCCTCTTTATCAAGGATGACAGTTGGGAAGAAAAAACGGTCGACGTTAATTAACTGACATGTCTTTTGCATGTTAACAGAGACATCTGCATCCAACTTGAGAATAGAAATGAGGCAAGGCTTCTGACGTGCAAAAATGAAATGTTCCAATCGTAATGGCACATAAATAGCTGTAGAGTCTAAATAAGGAATCTATGACATCTTATTCTCTTCTTCTTTTCTCTTTTATCGTCGTTGTCGTGGTCGTCGTCAAATTTTTCATGAAAAATGCTGCCGGCTTGTTGCAAAAACCAGTTCGTTTGCAAATCTCATTGGGGGCTCGCATCCGGACGACTCCACGTGGATATCCATTCTAATTTTCGTCAACAGTCGTTGTCCATCCAATTCATTCCATTTTAAACACATTTACCAAGAAGAATTTCATTTCTTAATATTTGGCAGTCCTGTGAGTCTCTTCAGAATTCATTTCTTCAAAATGTGCCCCACAGCATTTTTCCAAACAAGCATTGAAGCGCAAAAGATATGAGGAGAACAAGAAAAGAGAAGTAGTAAGAAGAGAAAGAGAGAAATGAAGAAGAAGAAAAAAAAAGATAAAAAATGAAATTTGTCATTACATAGTGAGAGATGTCTCTTCCTCACTTCATTGCCGTCATTATCATTGGACAAAAAATTGTGCCAATATCAATTGGAGGATTTTCCAATCGAGAAAAGCAGGAAGGAAGATTTCTCTTGTTTAATGTCAGAATAAATTGAACCAAAAAACTGAGAGAGAGAGAGATAGAGAGAGTGAGGTTACGAGAAAGAGAGACAAGAGAGTAAGATTGGTAAAAGGAAGTAAGAAAAAATGAATTTCATTCAGCTCTTCATCATTTTTGAAAAAAAAGATGTTTTCCGTTCCAATCTCAGCATAAGCTCACATAGCAGTTTGTTATCACTTTAATGTCTTTAAGCAGAGATATAAGCTTCAAAAGGACTACGGATAGATCCTTTTTTATTGACCAAAAAAGAGCCAAACGAAGTAAACAAGAAGTGGTTCATTTCATTCAAGGATAGATGACGTCAGAGCATGGCCTCTGCTCTTAAACTCTCACATCTTCAATCCTTTTTTGGTGGCTGTGTTCTCTTCCATTGAATCTCATGGATTGACTTCAACTTATTCCGCTCAAGTTTTTCATCATCTTTTCATTTCCATTAGTAATTAACCTTTGATCTCACTACCCAAAAATGGAAACATACAAAGATGGAGAGAGAGAGAGAGACAGAGTAAGAGCAAGAGAAAGAAATTCTCAAAAAGAATAAAAGCATGGATAGTTTGACATTTTTTCTCAAATAAACGCAGATAAGAGCAGTTTTGTATCATCGAGAAAAATCGCCAAATCGTCAGAAAGTAAAAATTGGTGATTAAGCGCCCTCAAGGCATATAATTATAAAAATGAAAATATAAGGAAGATGTGAGAGATTCAGAATGTACCTGACCGAATAAGAGCTTCATAGCTTATTCAATTTCTCTGACAATCAAACAGCTAATTTGCCTTTTTTCAATTTTATGTTCCGAATAGTTGATTGAAAAAAGTGCAAAAAGCCCATGTGCCTTTCTATCAAACACATCTTACTCTTATTTTTTCATATTTTAAGCTTTTTCCTTTCTCATCCTCTTCTATAGAGATGACAACTATGTCACACATAGAGGGAGAGAGAGAGAGAAGAGGAAAGGAGGGAGAGAGAGAGAGAGAGAGTTGTATCGCCAATTACCGTAGATTCAACTTCAAATCAATTATAAAACAGGAGGAAATCAATTCTTCAATTCTCACTTCATACATTCCATCATGCCCATATATGAATAATTAGTTCAAAAATTAATATTCTAAGCTTAAAAACGGAAAAAAAGCCGTTCACAGCTCAAACCACAAGTAGAAGTAGAAGAAGAAGACGAAGTCCTTTCCTAACAAGACTCTCACCCTCTCTGTCTTCCCTCTCTTCAGTCCTCTTCCCCTTTCCACTAACGGCAATCATTTTTGCTCATTAAACTTTTATAAAACAAGAGGAAGAAGCAAAAAACATTTTGCGTCGTCGTCGTCTCGAAATGAATCAGAACGTCTGATTAGCTGATTAACAGAAGGGCTATAGAAGCTTATTAAGACCTATC